CCTAGAAGCAATAACCCCCACAATTCTTAGTTATTTGGATATTTTTGAAGAAAGATGCCCTCCAAAAGGGAGGCACACTTCACAACAAAAACCACTGGACTATCTCATTTTGATATGAGCATTACAGTGATGTTTTCAGTCAAACACGCTTGATTACAGTCTCCCAGAAATCCTAAATTCGCAATATCAAGTGTTAGTGACAAACTGTAAATTAAAAGCTTATTTTCAAGTATCATAATCTTTGTTTACATATATTCTTCTACCTCATTCTCAAGTCTGAGGTAATCTGCTAATGCAGGACTTAAGGGACACTGCATCTATACCTCTGCTACTTCGTGACAATGGAGAAATCTACAGAGTTAACACTACATATTTATTCAGCCTAATTTCTCCTTATTTCACAGTAAAATTTATGTTTGTAAACAGAGCTTTAAGGAGAGAACCTTCCATCGCTGCTCAAGACTTGTTCTTTCTATAAGAACTTATCAGCAAGTTTCTCATTTCTTCATGCTCAAGTACATCCTATCTTGATCCAGCAGCTTTATTACGATTTTGTGCAGCATCAAACCCAAACCCCAAATAAGAACAGACGCATGCTATTGCATTCAAGGATATTTGACTGTAAGTCATCTGAGCAGATTACTGTTGGAGTAAAATTCAAGAACTGTGTTGATGTCTTATTACCATAGAATATGAACATACGCCCTAGAAAGAAAAAGATAAGACATCAGAATTTTTAGGTATGTCACATGTAATCATAGCAAACTACTTGTGCTTTGAGTATCTAATATATTGTCTTTCTACTTTTCTTTAAAATAACTTTTAAAAATAAAGCATAATTTACATGGTTTATCTTACCAAGATATTCACAGTTTAAAACAAAGCAAAGAGAACATCACTTTTTATGTAAAGAAGCTGTTATTGTACCAAAAATGATGCAGAAGAGAAGCAAGCAATCCTAGTGCTGGCCTGAGTTCAGTTCCCAGCTCCTTCCTAGATGTTTTCAGTATTTTGTGCATTAATGTATTATGATAGATATGTCTGAAATGCCTCATGTACCATATTATCACAATAAGCTGCACTGTAAGATATAAAAACTGAGCAGAATGGTCCTTTATAATCCTGGCTGTACCAGCCTCACAACTAGGCAGCAAGAGCTGGAGCTTACAGGACCACTTAAAACTCCCATTTCATCTCAGCTACTGAAACAACCAAAAAGTTTAAGGAAACAGGAATGCACACAGAAGCCAGGGACAGACAAATAGCAAAGATCCTAAGATAGTTTAGGCTGAAATCACATTTCCCTCTTAAGTAGCTGAAAAGTAAGTCCTATCCACAATGTCGTGCTGGGACTGAGGTTGATGATGCAGACAACCAAACCACTTGGCCTGAAAGCTATTACCCAGGTTCTGTCGAAATTCAGATTTCAATCCAATTTGTAGCAACTGGTTTTCAAATAAGACTCCATTATTTTTACACACAAACCTAGGGGAAGAGAGGAAAAACGTGTTTTAAATTGAGCCATATCAAACAATACTTAGAACCACAAAATTCAGGGTTTACAGAGAAGATGAAGATTGTGGTTAACCTAGAGTGCATCAGTCTGTGAGAGAGGCCTTTGCAGAAAACTGCAGAGTTAGAAAAGACAGTTTTACAACCAAAACCACCACTTGTAGGACACTAAAAGAACTGAGTTTTCTATTTGATAGGATGTCTCAGAAACTATGAAGGAAGCTACAGTATGCTATACGTAAACACACAGAGTCTACAAAGGACCAGGCAACAAACTAGGATTTTTCTTATTAACATTCTTGACAACTTCTGAAACTCATTAGGTTGGTGCAGAATTGAAAAGTTTGAAGCTTTGACTGTTTAAACCTGAAAGAAAAAAGAATCCCTTGTTTTATCAGTTCTGTATCACATAAGCCAACTGAGAGGTGTAGGGGTTTTTTTCCATTTTGAGAGAGGAAGCCCATTCTGCAGTGATTTCAGTCCTTTTGTCACCCTTCACTTAGAAGTAGAAGAGGTGGTCAGCAAGCATCAGCCTTTTGCATACAAGGCACTTAAAACATACTCCCAAATATCAGTACTTTTGACAATTTACTCTTACGTTTTTCCTTTATTTGCGAATAACTGCAAAACTTAACATAGAACCGGCATTGCCTCATTTGAGAGCGCTCATTTAGAGTGCGATAGCACTGACTCGTAAAGGCAACTCTAACCTGTGAATTCATGAGATTGTCACAAAATCCACAGCCTCTGCAGAGGCGTTCTAGTCACAAGTCTGACAGCACATGTTTCTCGAGTTTTGCTGGTATTAAGTTAATGCATAATATAGTTTTGCTTTATAACTATATTGTGGAAGTTGCCCAGCCTTGCAAGGTTTTAGTATTGCTTACTTGTGAAAAAGCTCATCAGCATCATGCACAGTATCAGCTGGTTCCTCAGAAACTACCTCAGATGAAGCCAGGTCAGGGCTAGTTCAGGCAGCACAAAGGAAGAAAGGCAGTAGCGACAGAGACAGCAGGAGTTAGTAAAGACAGCTTAGTGCTTAGTTTTTTCTTTTATCTCCTTCCTCAAAAACGGCACTGCTGAGTTTAATGCATGAAATATTTATTAGCTGCCCTAGCTCAGTACGCCTAGAAAGGTTTTAGGGATTAGGCAATGCTTTCCCCGCTTCTCTCCCCCACCCCACCCCTCCCTGATTGTTAGGAACCAGCAATTCTTCCCGAAGACAGGAGACAGTTGAAGGTGTTCAGTAGCTTAAGTTTATATCTCTTAAAGAACCAAGGCCTTTTAGGTGTTTAATTGTGACAGCAAAACAGTTTTAGTTCAAAACCATAACTGTAGATGTATATTAATTACTGTAAACGTGCACTTTGAAGCGGACCTTACCAGTACTTCTCACCAGTACTTACTCATCAACCTTACCAGTACTTCTAGCTACAGCTGCACAATCAGTTCTTAAAAACACACAAGTATTAAGTGTAGACAAGAGCATACGGGCACACAGAGAACGACTTACCCAAGTAACAGATTAGAAACAAAAGTGACAACAGCGCTAAAAAGAGGCAGGAAGCTGTAAAAGGCAGCTTCTCAGTAGCATTAGAGAAGTGTTTCACCATCTACAGACAGAGCAAGGGGTTGGGCAATGCTATACTTTATTCTGCAGAGAGAGAACATTTTTCAGGTAACTTTTGTTTATGAAGCTACCAGTATAAGTTTCCTTTTTTCCGCACCCCCCTTTTTTTTTAAAAAAAAAGAAAAGCTGTAACAAGCTTGTATAGTTTCTTAAAGTCTTGGTATTGTGTAGCATAATCAAACACTGCTGATTGCCTTCCAAGAAAAACACAGGATTAAGTCTTAATCTCTGCAAACCTGCAACAATGCATGGCCCAGTGTAAAATTTTGATGAAAGTCTCAATGATCTAGGCAGATTAGTTTCACTAATTATGTCTTTTATATAAAGATACATTGCAAATTTGTCATGTCATCATTCAAAATTTGGTCCTTGACAAGAGTAACACATTCTTTGGCCAATACGACAACAGATTTTTTTAAAGACATTCTGTGATTTTATACTATTGATTTTCAGAATTTTCAACAAATAACATGAGTGTAGCCACAGTGGCTTTTAATAGCCAAGAGATTAATAACTCCCTGCACCTATGCTACACTTACTAACGTAGTTAAGAAGATAATTGTATCAAATTCTCTTAAACAGAAAAGCTCATTTTTTTTTTCCCTTTTCACACCTATTTGTCAGACAGCAGCAGAACAATTTAAGTGCATCTTGAAATTCTGAGAACCAGTATCTTTGGACATAATCCACCTCACTGTTTCAGTATCATAAGCTTGTCATAAGTGGAGAGACACAAAAATACTTTATGGAAATAAGATAAGAATAAACATACTCATATCAGGCCAGATAACCCCCAAATTCAAGATGTATCGAGATGCACAAGCAGATCGGTTTAATGGAGAAGCAAAACCAGCATGAAAACTAGGCAATACTAGGTGGCTAATATCCTTGGGTTGATTACTACAGACTCAGTTTTCCCATGAGCAGAGATATTCAAAGATGGCACATCCAGCATAGAGTTCAGGAACACCTCTCTTCTTGCACTACTACCACCCAGGAAAAAAACCTGAAAGTTATTGTATGTACTTTTTTTTCCTCTAATACTATTTTAAAAGACAAATTCTTCTTCAGGTGCCTTTCAGGGCGTCTTAATTACCTCGCAAAGTTGTCATCAGAACCAGGAGCAAGAGGTGCAACTGCCGAAGCTGAATCTGAAAATACATCCACCAGCAGGCTACCACTAGAGGACGGTGGGGGAGCTGAATTGGTGAGAGGGGCGGCACCCAGACCCAGCAGATCCGCAGATGGGGAAGGAGTAGACTAGGGAAAACAAGACACTTTGGGGTTACGCTACAGCAAAACTCAAATAAAGCTGCCTCTTTTTCACAGACAAGTAAGCTATGGCAACATGCCTCTCCCCACCCCAAATCAAGCCTTGAGTGGACATAGCAGGCTTCACGAATGCAGTCATCACCTTGCATTTCAACTTAAGGTCATTTACAGATTTTTTTTTTTTTTTTTCCCTTTGAAGAGAGTTATGTACATCTAACCATTAAATAAAAAAACAAAATTCACATATCTAGAATTTGATTCTGCAGAAGAAAGATGACAATGTTTTTCCCCCCTCTCTCTTCTCCCCCCTTAGTTTAAGGGAAAGTAAGTACTGTAGGGAATAGAATTCAAATCTGTTGCTCTTCTTTCATGAAGAATCCAGCAAGAACAGCAGGAGCTTTACACAAAGCTAAATTAAAATATCACAGCATCTTTAAAATTGACTATCAGTTTACTCTTGATTTTTTGAAGCTTAGCAAACCTTAGAAACAATGTAAAACCTAACCAGCAAAAAAGCAGAACCTGTAGCTAGTTCAAGCTACAAACACTAAAACGTAGGAGGTAAGACATTTAAAATTTACCCCCCCTCCCCTCAAATAGAACAAATCAAGTAGCCAGGACACAGAATCAATCAACGGAGGCTGCATATATGTGTCCAAGTCACATGCAAGAACAAAGCACAGACCGTTAAATCAAATGTTCATGTATTAGATATTAGTAGCCTACAATATGCCAGATGCTGAAGATGAAAGTCACAAGATACAAAACCAAAATTTCAGACTCAATCCAAATGTAAGCCAACTCAAAGTTATCATACACTCCAAAGACTGAGTTTTATGCAGTATAATGAAAAATTCCCTGGCAAAAAAATTTTCAGAATCCAGTTGGTAAGAACTACTGAAAACAACCATTTGAACACCAATTTGGAACATATTCTTGGCATCTAAGCCAGTGTCACACCAAAGCCACTGATGAAGGTAACATAGTGGAGTTTCTTGCATGGCTGCAACCCATAAAGTGAAGCTCAAAGCATAACGTAATTTTAACTGCCAGTCACCTCAGTCAATCTGGCATGCAAATAAAGCTTGGCAACTTTTCTGCTGGAAAGGTATTTTCATCCATTCAAAGATGCTGCACTTGGAACGTCTAATCTTTGCATACTGCAACAACTAAGAGTTAAAGGATTATGCTTTAACAAACTGGGCAGGGAGTGTGCTACAATATTTCCTCCTCTTAGGTAATCTACTACTACATCTCGCATGTAATTACAAGTTATGCCAGTCATTAAAACCAGAAACAAGTATTACATTATGGCAATGATTCATTCTACCAGCTTTAATTGACAATAAAATGTGAAGTTTCAGCTCAGATAAAAAAAACCACACCAAGATTGGGGTCTTCTCTACCATAAAGGACCTCAAATAGTACTGTCAAATAAATGGTAACAACGCCATATTGATTTAAAGCCATAGGTGTTAAGTCAAGCATTGTCCACTTCTAGCAAAACCAGTAACAACTCAAAACAGGATGCAAAATATCTGCCATGCTGGACAGACCAGAAGAACAGTTGATACTTTGAAATTCAAGTTACTCGTTTTAACTGTGTTAATTTTATAATCTCACCTTCACTGCAGTTTTACCAACATGGAAATTCCCATTTCTAAATTTACAGTAATATTTTTCAAAGTAACAATGTAAAATGGATATTTTTTTTTAGGCTGCAGACAGTATGCCCACATTTACATAATATTTCCAAAGGAAAAAAAATAAAAAAAATAATCACATCCCAGCATGTGGTCGGGGAAAAGCAGCTGTATGTTCCCCTGCTACTTTAAAGCAAACATCCATAGTCTTAAATTTGAGATGAGAAATTTTAAACCCCTAAAAAGCAACTTTAAGGAAGCCATTCTTTTCTCACTTGTATGCTGCCTAAACTAGTGAAATAATAGCTTTTAAACTCACAACAGCACTGGCATTGACAGAGGCAGGTTCAGCACTTCCGTTCATATCAGAGCTCCTCTCCTTTTTTATCTCTTCCAGGTCAGTAACTGTGCCTGGGCCTTTCTTCTTCTTCAGTTTAGCCAAAATAGAAGATTCCCTCTCTGGAAAGGGAGGCATTTCTTCCAGCACTGTAGCCTTATCACAGAAAAAAGTGTATTGGTTAAACTTACAGAAAAAGTCAGACCAGCTTCTGAGTCTTTGAAGAGATACAACCAAATAGATGACATGAGGCAAAACCAAAAGTAATTCTACACAGAAAATGACTACGCAATTTACTGTACAGCGACAGAATAGACTTGCTTCTCAAAAAACCAAACAAGCCTAAGATATTTAAAACTTTCTGAAGTCCTCCCAAAGCAGTTGTTTAAGAGAACAGGAGCATATCGCTTCACTGGTACAGTGCTATTAAATTAAAAAAATCCAACCTAAATTAGAACATAGCAGACCTAATGGTCCTTAAGTCAAGCAGACCTAGACTGAAACCACAGAAGATTACTGAAGGATCTAGTCAGACCTAAGCATTTTTTAGCTGTCAAGACTAACTGGTCAGACCTGAGAGCACCAGGTTAAAACACTGAACTTCGAGACAAAATAAATAAATAATAATTAAAAAATAATCAAAATTCAGCACAACTACAAGTTTCCTGCCCACCATCAAGTAAGTCCCCAAAACAAAGCACTAGCTAGCCTTTTGGCTCCTGAATACTGCAGGACCCTGTACTACGCTGGCTTCCCAGCTCCAGATTAGCATGCTTTAATGGTCATTTGTCCCACTAAAGCAATAACAACTTTGATTTTAGTCCTGAATTAAAGATGACTGCAGCTCAATTAGGTAGACTAAAAGAATCAGGACCCACATTGTGGACCCTTAATTCTGCATTAATATTTCCAAGCACTCAGGTAAGGTTTAGTGGAGTTGTTGACAGAAGACATAGCTAAAGAGTTCTGCATTATAGAAAAATAATTAGATCTTTATACTTACCAATATATCAGTACTGGCAATAGTGCTGAGCCTCAAATACTCAACAGCTCTCTGCTGCAGCTCAACATCAGCATTCTTTAGTTGACTGTCACTGCGCAGTACATCTTGAATTGTAGTTTTGATTTCTGGAAACAGGTTCACGAACTTGATGTAGGTAGACAGAAGCAGAGCTCGGGTGGGGACACTACACAGATGAAACTTGGAATGTAGCAAGTTGAACTGGATGAGGGGACTTAAAAGATGGGAAGAAAAATATGCTCAGTTTTTGTAGACATGATGTAATTCTTAATGCATTACTATAAAGAGCTGAATCATTTGTTAATCAGCCTGTAGGAATGTTAAATAGACATTTGATTCTTTACAGTGTTACGACTTCAATTCAATGTTTCAGAAGGTGTTTTACCTTGATCTTGGATCACCTGCTATCAGATTTCCAAATTCTCCCAAGATGTAGCCACCTACTTTTACAAGATTCTCATGGCACGCTGGAGCTTGAAGGGCCTGTAAGAACACATTAATAGTCATTGATCTGCAGTGTTCCCAAAAAAAGATCTTTTCTGTCACTTTCATTCCAGTTTCCAAGTCTACCTTCCTGTAAGAGCTGTCCATATGTCTAGGCGCTACAAAGCACTTATGAGAAAAGCATGATAGATGGTATGACTTTATAGAAGAATCTAACCATAAATATTACTTGCTTAAGAACACTCCTAGGCCCATCTAGCAGCACTGTGGACTTCTGAGGACAGATACAGCTACTCAGGTTTCCCCTTACATCTTTAAGGGTGTCAGAAGGATGTTAATTTAAATCTTGCAAGAATGTGCTGAAGTTGTCCAAGATAATACCACCATCTTTGTTGAATATAAAGAAACACATGGCACAGAGGAGTTCTGAAAGTCAACTTAAACATTCCAGAAAGGAAATAAAACAAGTGGAAAGCCAATATAAAGAATCTAAACCAAGTCAGAACAATAAGGCTAGATGTTTCAAAGCGTTCTCCTTTAACAGTTCAAATTCCAGTTTTATATCCTGAACAAAAGAAAAGGGTATATCTTTCCAGAAGGATGAAGTTATTTTGAGTGTTTTGGATACCTGCATTCAAAAAACAAAAAAGGGGAAAAAAAGCAGCAGCAAGCTGTCCTTTTGTAAAAGGCTTCTATTTTTACCTGGAAAATTACTGAAATGTAGTAATGTAATTTCCTTACTAAGTCATCCATTTGATGCCACCCACCAAAATAACTGAAAAACCAGCATAACCCACCCTGCCCTCCCTCACCAAAACCAGAACAGTACCAGGTGTGTTCTACATTACTTAAGCCAGACAAACTTCTCATCAACATCATCCAGCCTCTGGCTCTGAAAGCCTACGATGCTAGTTTTACAGAAAGCTTCAGCAGTGTTTTGTTGAAATATTCAGGGATTTAGCTCTCCCTAACATGGAGAAGCACACATACCTGCTAGATCACATGGAGTTTACTTAATTCCTACCTCATTTTGAAAGCAAATTGAAAACAGTTGTTCTCACCTCAAAAACTGTCTTTGCTGCGTACCCTTGAACATCATCCCTGTTGATGACAATCTGAATAACTCGGTACCACACTTCTTCACTGACATAGTCACCAGCAATGCGAATCAGATTCAAGATTGTATCCACATACCAGGTATAATCCACCGCATACTTCTCAGCTAGAATTGCAACTTTCAGAACCTGAACAACATAAGAGAATAAAGCAGGTTGACTAGCTTCTGCTAGAAGCTGCATATCAAGATTCACTTTCGTATACACCCAGTGATAACCCATGGTAGGAGACACCCTTCACTACATCAGGTTGCCCAAAGCCTCATCCAACCTGGCCTTGAACACCTGCAGGGATGGGACATCCACAACTTCTCTGGGCAACCTGTTCCACTGCCTCACCACCCTCTGAGTGAAATAATTTCCTCCTTATATCTAATGTAAATCTCCCCTCTTTCAGTTTAGATCCATTGCCCCTTGTCTGGTCACTACATGCCCTTGTAAAAAGTCCCTCTCCAGCTTTCCTGTAGGCCCCCTTTAGGTACTGGAAGGCTGCAATAAGATCACCCCGGAGCCTTCTCTTCTCCAGGCTGAACAGCCCCAACTCTCTCAGCCTGTCGATTAGCCTGTCTAATGCATTACAATACGCCGCATCTGTGACTTTTTGACTGTATACTTAAGTGATCAAGAGCAATTTATAGAACATTTTTAATTTGCTATAAAAACACCATCTAAACCATCCCTGAGACAGGGCCAAATAGGAAACTGGAGACATCTAAAAAAAAAGTGGAAACTCAAGCCAGCAGAGACAGACCAGAATCACAAAATATAGCTCACTTTTTCAGGTCATATTAAGATTCCTATATTCTGAAGCAAACAATCAGCATAGGAAGAGACCTCCACATAACTTGTTATTGGTTGCATGTACACTGACCTCTTCCTTTAGGAGTAGCAAATTAACAGAACGAAATTCACATTTTATCTGCCAAGTCAGGGTAGATTGCCAACAGCAACAAGACAGTACAAGAGGTAAATCAACTGACACTGTATTCTATGTTAACTTCTCCGATCACGAAATTTTAGGACTTAAGCTAAATAATTGCCATAAGCACAGGTTTTGGCTACCATTCTAGGAACGTTAAGTCAAGTCAGTATTTCAACTTTTTTTTTTTTTCCTGCTGGAAGGAAGGAGATATGTATCATGCTTCTTTAAGCTGGTTATAAGGTATTGTTTTGGGGAATCCTTAGACTGAGATAATGTTCTCACAGCATGCACAGTATGAAGTTCTACCTACAAATAAGTATTTATCACATTAATTTTTGAAGCAATTAAACAGTTGACTAGAGTAAGACATAACTCTCAGATCTAGAGATTAAATTTGCTCAAGCACTGGTAGAATTCACTTCATCTTCTATATGCAATGCCTTGAGACCAAGATTAGTTTCTAAAAGTTCTAGTTTCCAAGGTTATGTTGGGGTTTTTTTTTTTTTCCTCCCTTTTTTTTCCTCCCTCTTCCCCATTAGTTTAACCTAAATGAAAAACATTCTTTACTACGAGACTACGAACTTAAGGTTGAGGTTTATCAGGGTTTTTGGTTGGTTGGTTTTGTGGGTTTTTTTTAAACCACCATGAAAAAGAATTTCCATCACAGACTACCCAGTGCCCCAATTAATGATACATATGGTGCCAAAGCCAGCTATGAAAAAAAATTAAGGAAACACGAATCTCTCACAATTTCTTCTCTAATGGAATAATCAGCAGTCTCCAGGTAATTCAGCATTTCAGCCACAATCTGTTGGGCATTGCTTCGGTCACACATTGCGTACAGGAGATCTACAGCTCTCTGTCGTACACTGACATCTCTTTCAGTCTGCAAAAGGACACATAGCAAAAGCTCGAAATGATTTCATCTTTATTTGGAAAGCACATGCAACTTACTGAAGAGATTAAACTTACTACAATCCATAGTCAAACTCAAAACAAATGCATTTTCATAATCTTTCAGATGCAGGATAAAACTTAGATAAACCTTTTCAGGAGCTATCAGTTTCTCTTTACTCTCACTTTCAGTCACCTACAAAGGGGTCACTGGAGACTTCCTGGTCACCTTCCTACTTTTAGGGAGTATTACAAAAATTCAAATCATCAGGTTTTGTTTCTGTAGTATACGTATTCAAATCTATGCAAGTGCTGAAACGATGGAGGATTCCGTACAGAATACTCTACTATTACCCTAACTAGGGTAAATGAGTTTGTGGTCCACTGTGCAACTGGCACCACTGGCCACAAATCCACTAATAACTGTCTGAAATTGGCAACCCGTTACCAAGCTAAGGGGCAATTAGCTATCTGCAGGTTTAGTGTTGGGCTTGCCTTCAATCAACAGATGCCCAGCTAGAACAGATATGTACTTTAGATAAATGTATTAATATGCTACAGCATGACCTTGGAAGAAAACAATACATGTGAACACTGAAGTGTGCAAGTAAGTTTACATGCAAATCAGTTTTCCTCTTTTGACTTCTGCTTTTTCACATAAACATGGCCTGGAAATGTGTCTTTCTGGTTTCTTGACTTTCTGATTCTGCACTGGAAGTTTCTCTGCTCTAGTTAGTACCCATAAGATACTGCAGTGATGGAACAGTGTCCGACACCAGCAGAACAGTAAAAAAAAGTCTTACTAGCGTTCTCCATTTTGAAATTCCATGTTTTGAAGGAATTATTCATTTTCAGTCTATAGCTTGAGGAGGTACTAAAACATTACAGAGACCACAGCTACAAGTAGTAAGCTGCAGAAATAAAATGAAGCTGACCTCCATCATGGCCAGCACAGCATGATTCCGCAGGATTAAGAAAAAAATCCTAAAGCAGGCTTCTGAGAATAACTCATTTGGTCCTCAAGTATTATTAGCTTAACTGGGGACGAGGGGCTTGGAACAGCAGGGGAGAGGGCACGGAGGCAGGGGAGAAGACAACACTCAAAACAGAATGCACACTTAAATATTTACCTTCAATGCATTGATAACTGTTTCTATGTGCGTTTTCACAGCCTCATGTGAGAATTCAGAGCTGGCAAGCGTGCACATGCTTTCCAGTGCTAGGTAACGCAAATTAGTTTCTCGGTGCTGCAAGAACTGACCTAGCTGGTTACAGGCACGGACTAGTAGATTTGGCTCACTGCACAGAACAGGAGAGAAAGTGAAAGGGTTAAAAGCAACAGGTTTGAGAACATCGAATACAGAATACTATTCCCACAGTGGAAATTTCTTAAGACACCTTAAAGTGTCTGCTAGAACGCCCCACCGGTGAAGTGAAAATTCAGATACTGTGAGCAAATAACATCTGTTGGATTAGAGTGGTGGGGTTAAAACAAAACACCCAGGGGCAGGGTGGGGAGGGGAGGGAAGGCAGCATGAAACAAAGCAATTAAAAAAAATGCTGACAGCAACATAGTTCATTAATACTATTCAATTCCATTGCTGTGGTTGTGTTCCAGTCCAGCAAGCAACATCGTATTCTGCTGTTCTCCCCTTTCCCCCCAGTAACATTCCATTTAGTGTTCAAGACAAAGCTGTGTCTTTTCACTTAAAAAAATTCTCTCATAACAGAAGTGTTCTCACAGCTCACCTGTCGTGATGTATAATCAAGCTTATTGCCTCAAACAGCACAGCGTTCTTTGCATTTGAGTGTTGTACTTTCTTGGACTTGGGTGGCTCCTGCGCTTTGTTAAGGATAGTTTCCAGGCATTCTGTTAGACGGCCACGTACCGCGGGGTCTTCTGGAGAAGAACAAGCCGTTGGACAACTTCATTTTGCTTGGGACCCTAATCCCTACCTTAGGCCTTCCACCTTGCTAAATCTGAACAAACTGAAGTATTCTGATACATTAAAAATAGCTCACCCTTCCCCAGTACACAGCTGGCCAAAGAATTCTAAGCCACACTTCTATTTGGGTGAGAACAAAAGCCAAACGCGATCAGCACTATAATATATTTCAAGGATTTAATATAGTTGGTAATATTAAAGCACACTTAAAATGGCAGTTGCAACTGCTTTGCAAGATGCACACTGGTTTGACACTTTAAGCTATATGGACTTTTGAATTATGATGTGTTTCACAAATTTGAGACAGTAAAGAACTCGGTATCCTCATCTTCAGACCATGTGCTTGCACTCCAAGCTACAGCACAGTAGCTCTTTGGAGCCAGCACACTGTGTAAAAGATGATCACTGTTGTGACTTGTGCATTACCTGGAGGGGGATAGCACTGTAACAGCCTCAGAAGTTTCACAGATAACCAAGGAGCTGGGACAAAGTAGTACGTGTAATCCTGAAGATCCGTTGATGCAGAAGTGACAATCTGTAACACAAGCAGACAGCATATCAGCTACTGAAGTGAAGCGATGTGCAATCGTGAGAAGGACCCAAAGAACACTGGTCACCTTTGACACAGGCTTACAAAACTACATCACAAGCAATGTTTAATTCAGTATATTAATTAGGTGCAAGATGTCATACTGTAAGCACACCATCAGGTTCCCTACTAACAGAAATTCAGTTTTAGAGATACAGTAGTCTAGGTAGTCTAGTACTCTTCCAGAAAGCATACTTGCTTTTCCTAAGAATGAAGATGACCATCTTGTAGCACCACAACATTTAACTGGAAGCTGGACTTCCTTTGGTTCAGCAATTCATAGATTCAGTCAACAGAAAGCCTAAATACAGCGTTATAGTTGACTGCTGATAGATGAACTTGGAATTCAAGCACAAGATTCTACAACAGACTGAACTAAAGCAGAAAGATCAACTAACACCTCCAGTAATATACATACTCCAGAGCCAAATGGATAGAATCATAGAATGGTTACAGTTGGTGTCGTGGTTTAGGCCGATCTGGCAACTAAACTCCACGCAGCCGGTTTCTCACTCCAGTAAAGTGGAGAGGACAAAAATGTAATAAAGGGACTGAGGGTCGAGACAAGAACAGAGGGAGCACCCACCAACCACGGTCCCAGGCAAAACAGACTCGGCTTTCTTAAAACAAAACAATTTATTAACCGTTACTTAAAAGGACAAAGGGAAACAAAACCGGTTCCTTGAGAGGATAAAAAGAAACAAAGCCAGATCTTAAAACCGACACCTTCCTTCCCCCCTCCCCCCTCCTCTTCCTTTACCTCCCGGCTCTACCTCCTCCCCCCAGCAGCACAGGGGTCAGGGACTGGGGGAGTGCAGATCAGTTCATC